GGGGGGGGGGGTGGGGACTTCTAACAAAAAATAAACAGTGTGATGTGCCTCGATTGGTGCATTAGCACTGTGCGTTGCTTTGCAGCTGCTGGTGTGAATGGAGCCTAAATGTCAGACCGTGGTATGGACACAAACTGACCATTATGTGTCGACTGTTATTCTGACCTCGGCTTGATGACAATTTTATTCACCAGACCTCCTTGAATTTTAATTCACTACCCCTCCTTTAAACCCTTGGTTCTCAACTGGTGGGTCCTGACCCAAAAGTGGGTCGCGACCCCATGTTCAGTGGGTCACTGCATGCCTGCCACTTTTCTAGGCGAGAGGCTCCTTGGCCTCCCCCATAGCGCAGCACTGTCAGTTCTTACACCAAGCAGCTATTCAAAATATGTTGCCGGGCGCCGAGTGTTGACTTGAGGTGGGGTGGGCTGGGGGTATGCCCGCGAAGGAGCTCCCTACATACATGCATTGCTTATAGCTCCCTCGCATGTCCTGTAGAGGTTCCTGGACAGGAGTGACATCACATTCTGGCTGCCGTGTGTTCCATTGCAGTGCGACTTGGGTCGCAACTTAATGACCGCAGCAAATGTGGGTCCTGAGTTTACACAGGTTGAGAATCACTGCTTTAAACCATTCAGACCTTACTGGTCGACTTACATTTATATAGAGGAGTAGGGAAGCACAGCCAATGTTCAGAACTTCTAAACGCATAGAAGAACTTGCATATGTGGTAAGCAATTATCACTGTACTCAAATATTCGCAAGCGATATATGAAACAAGGTTTTAGAGTTTGTAGTTTCTCTTTGACATATTCTTGCAAAGTCATGAAAATAATGTACTACTTTAGAGTAATTTTATGTATGGAATGGAAATGTTAAACATTTCTGGTTGCAGAGAAGGTTGTTCTATTCTGAAATCTTATAAACGTTATTTATATAAGAACAGGTTACATTTTACATCCATGGTTTTAAGTAGCTTGACCTTTTTATTTTCAGGACATGACACCTGATTACTCTATGGAGAGCCATCAGAGAGATCATGAGAATTATGTGTCGTGCTCACGAAGCAGGCGTCGCAGAGCTAAGGCACTTTTGGACTTTGAGCGCCATGATGATGATGAGCTTGGCTTTCGCAAAAATGATATAATTACGGTATACTGCGTGGACATATTTAATTATTAGAGATAGGGACATTGTAATTCTTAAAACAAAATTCCTTTTTTTTTTCTTTATAAGATCATTTCCCAGAAGGATGAACACTGTTGGGTTGGGGAACTGAATGGACTTAGAGGTATGTGTTTATGTGAATTTACTTGCAAAGAAAACCATTTGGCATTACCATGTATAGTTATCTGGACTTTTATGGTATCAAACATCAAATCACTCACCATGAAGCTCCATAAAAGTGACTATTTTTATAACAACAAAACTTATACAAATCACATCAACAGGATAAAAAAGGTTTGTACATCCTATAACATTAAGATTTAAGCCATCACATCCTGTTTGGAACCCACCAAAACAATATTTTAATTTTAAAGAATAAGTTGTTACATCCACTTTGCCAAATATTGTACAGATCATCAGATATGCATGTACCGTATGATGGGATACCAAGCTCTTACACTTTTCTTAGGCCAACGGTCTACTTTTCCAAGATATAGGGAGGTGGCTAATCTAAATTTACATAGTTTATTAGTTAAACACACAAAATACTGTATCCACTTGGAAAATCTATCCAGCGAATAAACTAACATTTTGCATGTACATATTGGAAAAACACCTTTTGTTAAAAAACATCCCCATAGCCGAGCAGGCATCCTATATACTGGGTAGGACTGCAGGGTGTCACAAAAGGGGAATCCAAGTTCAAGTTATCAAAGTGGATAGACAGTATCTGGCATAGATTAGCACAAGATGTTAGAATATCAGAGCAGGAATTTGGTAATTTGTCGACGTTTGTTATAAAAGTATATAGCTTACTGTCCCAGTTTCCAAAAAGGTATGCATTATAGAATCCAGTATATTCCATCATATATCCAAAGTAGAAGGTGGGTGAGCTGTGGGATAATTTATATACTCCTGGTTAAGTGGGTATATAAGTTACCAAACTTCTGTTCTGCTATTGCTCTGGCCTTTTGCTTATCATTTTTTACATACAGTCTATCCCAGGGCTCAAAATTTCAAGTCCGGAGCTACTAGCCAGGCCTTAAAAGTTACTCGCCACCAGTTGCCCCACCTAACCCCTACCCTGCCCCGGACTTAACTCCGCCAGGTCAGTAATGTAACGCACAGCGCAAAGGTCAGTAATGTAACGCACAGCGCAAAGGTCAGTAATGTGACGCCCAGCGCAGAGGTCAGAGTGACGCCCAGCGCAAGGAAGAAAGAAAAGGAACTTACAGTGCACTTAGCTGGTATTCAGGTGCCTCTTCTTTCTCCTGGGGGGG